GCTGCTCCCCGTGGTTTCAAAGCCTCAACAGTAATTGTTCAGGGTGCAGCCCGGCACGTGTTGCAAGAAGAAAAAGATCATTTACCAGTGTGTATCCCACTCAAGAAGAGAACACTCATAAAAAGAAGGAAAAGCAATGCTTTAAAACCCCTTGTTTCTCCTACTATCCTCCACACACACAAAAAAAAAGAAAACAAATTTTATATGATTCACCAACATCTGTTCATGCAGTCATTGTTATCAAGTAAATACAGCACATCACAATGAGGTTAAGCAAGAACAGACGAGGGATCACATATATTAAAAAAAAGCAATTTAATTAAAGCCCAAAGGAAATTAAAGTGATGTGCAGAAATTAAAACAAGAGAAAAATTCATATGATTCACCAACGTCTGTTCATGTGGTCATTGTTATCAAGTAATACAGAACATCCCAATGATATTGAGCAAAAACAGGCGTGGGATCACATATAATTCAATTAAGCAATTTAATTAATTCCAAACGAGAATTAAACTGATGTACAGAAATCAAAACAAAAGCACAAATTATCACACTCCACAGATATGTAAATAAGAGGCAGAGCTCATGCTCATGGAGCCATTATCGTAGACACGGCCAAGAAAATGAACAAAAGCGGCGCAAAAATAGCAGCAGTCACACTACCATCAGTGTTCCCATCATTACCACGAACCCCCATTATCGCTGCTCGTGTTCGTGGACCTTGTGATTCATCCACCTTTCTGTTGAGTGTATTGCACACATCAGCGTATTTGGGGCACACAATTTTACCCTGCAGTGCACCGCCATTAACAGTTAGAGTTTCCCCTTCATAACAACTGTGCCACTCAATGTTTCCACTGTACCGCACACTTACCACTTTGAACTTGCAAGACACTTCCACACACACGGCACCAACAGCTGTATCGTCAGCGATCAGATTCTCCCCCTGTACACAGCGCGAGTTGGCAGCAATTAAACTTCCAGGCATTTGGCTCTGATCCCCATCGGTGCAGCTGAAACCTGACTCTGCTGTAATAAAAGGGCAGTAATCCATTTGGGACGCCCTTTCACCTCCTGTCATTGCGTCAGAAAAGTATTGGAACTGACCCTCAAGGTCCCTCTCATAGGTTTGAATGCCGCATCTCCCCATCGACTGGCGGTCAGATGTGCACTGTAGTGAATCAGTACCATCTGTGGATTCGGTTGTGCAGAACATATCAGGGAATTTAGTACTGCCTTCCTTCACACATTTATCATTCAAAAAT